AAAATAATGTTGATAGCAAAATCGGGAATTGGCATCCGCTGAGCAGAGACTTTTATTCATCGCACACTGACTGTTGCACATAGACTGAAACGTGTCTCCATATAAGTAAAATCATATTAATTTAAATTTATCTGTCCACCAAAACTATACATTTTAAGAAATCCATTTATAAGAAATATGAAAACATTATGAATATGTTTAAAATTTCCCTTTTCGTTCACATTTCAATCCGTTTCTCATCAATGGGCGGGAGTTTAGGGTGATGCGTCCTCCTACTACAGGAGAGGTAATTCTAGGCACAACACAGGAAACTTGAATGGGAGAAACGAAGCAGAGGTGGATTTAGGAAATTTGGGGTCCAAGGTAAAGACAGGCATGGGGTCCTCTGAATTGAGAAGACAACTCATTAAACAGACCCATTATAGAGATGCAGAAATGTGATGTTAATGTCTGGCCAATGATCATAAATTAACTGAATGTTGACATCTGACTGCAAGGTCCCTCATGTGACTTGTAGAATGCCTGTTGCCTGTTGCCAATGGTAAATATAGTTCGACGGACCTGTTAGAATAGTTTTAACTGACATTGCCAGCATGTAGGATACTTTATATTACCGGTAGCTAATAGAAGCAATACTGATTTTCTGATAAACAGTCTATTTTAAAAATATATACTCTAAATCAATATTTTAAAGGTCAGTAAAATGATTAGATTTTATATGTTTCTATTTCATTTTCAGACTAATTCTAATGTATGTGTGAATTTGTAAGCAATTTTTTCAGATTTAAAAAAAAGTCAGCTGTTTCAATTAAATTAACTGAATTTGAATAAAACAAATACTTGACTTGAAAGGATTCTGATATTCATTTGCAATGTTTTGTGAGATTTTGTTCCAAATCTTAATGAATTAATTCTCCAAAGTAAAATCAAAGAAGTGTCCTACCATGACTATGAAGCTGGTTCCAGTGTGAAATGAGTCCCTAACTATGTAGGGACAGTGATAGCCATGCCAGTCCAGGGACTGACTGCAGTTCTACTGTAAGATGCATTGGTCAAGGTCAATGACCGGCGTACCTGGCATGTAACAACCAGACCATGCATATTGCTTTAGGTTAATAGAATATATTAATTAGGCTATGTATACTTCAAAAAAAAAAAAAAATGCACCTTCCCCCTTGTTATTTTTTTACAACTCGACTACTGGTTTTTGCTAGCCTGGGTGCCAGTCAGAACTTAGCCCCGCCCACAAGGTTTGAGGTCGGGGAAGTTCGGTCTGGCTCTGCTCCATAGTAGCGCGAGTATTAAAGCCCACTGTCAGGCGATCCAATCAAATTGTCAGGGCGGACTTTATACGATGATGGACAGATGAT